AAATGAATATTTACATGTTTTGCATATTTCCTTACGTCATCTGAAGCCACCGGAAGAGCCAGTGAACTATCCCCGCCCCGGCAGCTCACTCAATCCGACCCGAAGAGAAGGCGAGTCCACGGCTAAAAATATAATAGCTAACACAAGATGGCCGGTTTGCCTCGTAGGATTATTAAGGTACACTTTACACCGGACACTGTATATGCAAGTAAACGAGCCCGTGTGTGAGTATTGAAAGGATTAATGTGTGAGAGCACGGACGGATGTTTGCTGCCATCCAACGTGTAGCCTGACGTTAGCGCCGCTAGCACCATTAGCTCGTCTGCGAGTGTTTTGTTTGCCACTTCCGTTTTACTCCCCGTCTGCTCTCATCTGCGCCCCTCTTTTCCCCCGCGGGTAGATCCGTCGTCGTGCTCAAATCGTACTTTCCGCGACACCGTGTCGCTAATTTCCAGCGCAAACCAACAACTTGTGACATTTTGTCCCAGTCGCCATATGAATGGGTTCGCCGAGCAAAAAGCTAAGCTAAGCAGCCGCAGCTTTCGGTGATTGGTGACCACACATGTGTGAAAACGCGTCGCCCTCGCGGTCCCTAAATGTGCAAAGGCCCGCAGTGAAGCAAACATTACAGTAGTGCCTTCTTTTGTTTGAAAGGGAAACGAAACATTCGGGTTTAAATGCGAGGGCCTGTTGCGTTGCGGTCTCCTCCCTCCAGGCCCCGGCAGTGGGCGCGATCAGCCCTTTCCGCCACATCTAGCAGCTATCTCTCAGGTTGAGCAGGTTTTTCTTTTTTCACAGCCAGTAACATGCAGTTGACAGGGTGAAAACACGACCCCCGCTTCCATTAGGGAAAGCTGTGTGCGTGTGTGTGTGTTTTTTGAGGAGTATTTGCAGCGCGGGGTTTAAAAGCTTTACTGTTGACTGCAGCTGTTTTTTTCGCTGCACCTGCTTGATAAAATGCAGAAATGTGAACACTGTTTCACTTCCTCCTTTTGATTTGTGTCGTCGATCGTGTCTTACTGTCGGACTGCGCTTCGTTTTACATTCAAACTTTACATTTTTAATTACATTTTGTATTTTTTTTTTTATTAAAATCAGACAAACTGATCATTCGCTACTGAGTTCTTGTAATAAAACGGACTTTAAAAACATTTAAAGCTGAAATAGTGATTCACAAAAATATTAATGTGCGACTGTTTTGATAAGTGGTTAATTATTTTAGCCATTTTAAAGTAAAAAATGCTCGAAATTAGCTTTTTTTACAGCCTCTAAATGTGAAAATGTGTAGTTTGTGTTTGCAATGCGTGATAGTAAACAATATCATAGAATTTTTACATTTTTCATTATTTTATATATCAAATTGACTAGTTGATTAATGGATAATACTAACTGACAGATTCATCTGTAATGGAAATAAAGTGAGTTACGGCCCCGAGTTAATACTTTTATTTAAAAAAAAAATAGTATGGTTGGAAGTTGTGTGTTTGTTTTGATCAAAATAAGTCATTGTACAGTTCCTGAGAAACGCTCCGGCCCTCCCTTACCTTTTTTTTACGGTCTGTGTTCAACAATAGCTTGTGGAATGTTGTTTTGTGTGTATGTGGGTGAGTTTGAAAGTGCGTGAGTGACTAAGCAGGGTGAAATTGCATGTCCTCATCCATTATATACTTGAAAGTCTGTTGTCTGCTGACACCTTCACAGTTCTTCTTACAGCTGTTTTCTTTTTACTCAGAAAAGTCAACAACAGTGTTTATGTATTTCTCGTTCTGACCACACTCAGGAGACACAGCGGTTGATGGCAGAGCCTGTTCCAGGGATCACGGCTACGCCTGATGAAGGGAATGCACGTTACTTCCATGTGGTCATTGCAGGGCCTCAAGACTCTCCTTTTGAAGGAGGCACATTTAAACTTGAACTATTTCTTCCAGAAGAGTATCCCATGGCAGCTCCCAAAGTGCGATTCATGACCAAAATCTACCACCCCAATGTTGACAAACTGGGAAGAATATGTTTAGACATTTTGAAAGGTAAGAAAATATTAAGTATCGATTGAATTAAAGACTTTTTTGATACGTACATATTTTTTTCTGGGTGGCATCAGTGCAGAACCACACTCGCAGTATATAGCACATTCTATGCTCCCATGGTTCAGTTTCAAACCTTGGAAAAAATAAACGCCATAAACGGTTAAAGCTGTAGTTGGTGACTCCTGACCAGTCAGAGGAAGGAAGTCTCTTAGTAATGACTTTTATGTCGGTCTGACACACACAAGGGATCAAGTTATTATTCCTAGTGTGTTGGCAAGCCGCTTCCTACTTCGTACAACGTCATGAACATCATGGGAACCCCAGTGCAGCTTTGTTTCTGGCCACACAACGAATTAAGTCCAATACTTACTGGCCTTTCTACAGAGAAATATTTTAGATTCTTAGCTACTATATGCACCTTTTCTTCATTAAACGCCTATTCATGTGTTCTGCTGTTCAGTACTGGACAGGTATCGAACACTAGGTTTGTCAGATCTTGTTTAAGGGAAGCTACCATACACTCTAAAAGTGGGCCGATGACTCAAAGCGATCTAACGGCAGATACAATCTGCACAGAGTTCAGTGGTTTTGGTAGTACTTTCAACTCTTTCACATTACACAGAGCCATTTGATTCAGTGTTAATATAAAAAATATCACCCATTGGCATTTTACGTTGTGCTGTTTAGTTGGACATTGAGACAGTTCTGTAAAAGACGTTTTTATATTCAGAATGTAGTGATTATCCAGACAGGGAACATTACTCACATTGGGACACAACTAAATGTCACAACTTAGCTGACGCTGTAATCTTCATCTATGAAATCAAACAAGTGCCTTACATCTGACTGATAGGCTTAGATGTCTCACCCAGAAGGTGCCAAATTAGCACAGATCACACCGGACACACCAGCAGTGTGAGGCATAGTCACATAATGTAGGTTTCATTATGACACTTAACCAGAATTTGATCAGAAAAGACCAGAAATAAAAAATATTTTTAGATTTCTGTGTGAGAAAAGCAGCTGGTTATGTTTACAGAAAGCCATCTCGTGCAACAAAGCCTTAGGAAGCAGATGTGATTACAGCCATTAAATCAAGTTTTGAGGTAAACGAACTCGAGGTGTTATGTTTATTTGGCAAGAGCCGAAAAGACAACAGGCGAGGGTTTGCCAAACTTGCTGTTAAGTAATGAAGACAATATTGCAACAGACTGTAATTTGTATGCACTTAGTCTTTCATTTGCTCATTTTATTGTTTGATTCATTAGATTTACTAGTGCCAGAGTTTTCCATTATCAAGTAGCCTTAAGATAAAGTGGACGATTGCTGCTCGGCGTCTCTGTTACAGGCATGTTCTGGCTGCTTGGCCATCTTTACCCACGCAACAATGCTGTATCACCCTGGAGTCTCCCTCGTTTTTGCAAATTTGACCTTTATGCTGTCATTTTTTCCCCCTCTCTTTTTTGCATGTTCTTCTGAACTTCTCTTCCAGATAAGTGGTCTCCAGCCCTGCAGATTCGTACAGTGTTGCTATCTATCCAGGCGTTATTAAGTGCTCCCAATCCAGATGATCCCCTGGCAAACGATGTTGCAGAGCAGTGGAAGAAAAACGAAAGCAACGCCATCGAGACAGGTGAGGATTACATTCATATTTTCTTTCTCAGCGCTCCTTAAAACCCTCAGGATCAGCTGGACTGAACTATTTTACCGCTGCCACAAGTGGTCACCGGTTTCCAGTGGGAGAAATTCTTTGGTAAATGGCAGCAATCATTAACATAGTTCTAGACCTCCAATTTGCCGTTAACACTCGATCTGGTGTTGT